AGATGCTCTGCCGGGGGGTGGGTGCAGCAATTCCCTGTGCAAAACCCCCGAGATATTCCAGATTGCAGCACGGCTTTGGAGCCTCTTACTCAGCCTTTACTCATGATAAAAAATCCAGCCCTACTACAGATTTATCTGCCCAGATGAGTAAGGCTTACTCAGCCATTCAGCATTTCACACCAGGCAGGGCAGAGCAGATCCATCAGCGCGGCTTCACAGCTTTCTCAGAGCTCTTCTCTGAATGAAATATCGATTCCCAACCTATTGCACAGATAATGAAAACCATAAAGGAGCTGCTTGCCTTCCAAACTCCCAAACAGGGAAGCTGAAGTTACAAGAGAAGTTTCTAAAAAACCCTTTCCTGTTGTAACAAGCCAGGACAAAGAGGGTGAGACAGCTGAAAACTTAACCCTCAGCTGAGCGAGGGGTTCCTTTTCCTTCTCTCCATGAATGGTTTTCCACTCTGATCCAGCTTTGCCCCAGAGATCTCTCACTGAAATATTGGAAAAGCCACATGAAATGGTCATGGGCTGAGAGACTTTCAAGGCAAGACCCTTTATCTGCAGGGAGAGGAAGGGGTCTGGGAGGGAAGAACATTCGAGAATTTTTCTCCCCTTTTTCTGTCACAGTTCTGCCCTTGTTTGTCACCACAGCGAGGGGTTCCTTTTCCTTCTCTCCATGAATGGTTTTCCACTCTGACCCAGCCTTGCCTCAGAAATCTCTCACTGAAATATTGGAAAATCCATGTGAAATGGTCACGAGCTGAGAGATTTTCAAGGCAAGACCCTTTATCTGCAGGAAAAATGAGGGAGAGGAAAGGGTCTAGGAGGGAAGAATATTTGAGAATTTTTCTCCCCTTTTTCTGTCACAGTTCTCACCACAGCCACCCCTGTCCCTCATCCTGCAGGTTCCTCCTGGAAGGAAATTTGGGAGTTGTCCTGCAGGCCCAGAGCTTGGAGCAGAGGCTTCAGCCCCTGTCTCACTCCAGTTATTAAATTGCTTTTTCTGTCTTGGCGCTGAAAGGACCTAATTATCAGATTGCATTAGTCCTCATCTCTTCAAGTGGCCAAATCTGCTTTGGTTCTCAAGGATTTTATTGCCAGCTGAAAATGGCTTAATTGTGTTGTGCTTGCAAAGAAAACACGGGCTGGGGGAATCAAAGCTTTCCACAAGAGGAGAAGAAATGCCATAAATAACACGCTGGGGTTTTGTTTTTTTGGGTCTCACCATTTCCATGCATGTAAACTGGCATGGGTTTGCCTTTCTTCCCTAAGCATGAAGTCAACTGGAAAAAATTCCTCAGGAAAAGGTGGTTTCCCCATTCCCAGTAAGCTCCTGGGGTTTGGGCATGAACTGGATCTTTATAGGTCTGATGCTGGGATCTCCAAGGGAAAATGAACCCACCTTGGTAGCAGAGGGAATGGGCAAATCCAGGGGAAATTCCACTGAGAGAAGCCTGCACGTTTGATAAGGCTTGAGAGAGCAAATAAACAGATTTGCAAGTGAAGGGGATCTACAGATGTGCAATTCTGCTGGAAAAAAATAGGTTTGTCCCATGGGAGGGATGAATTGGACAGAGGAAATTGAATTTAGGATTTATGTACCTGAGAAGAGCAGAACTCACACCACCCAACATCATTTGTAAGTGTATATTTTGTGTCCAAAATCTTAATTTAGGATTTCAGGCTGCCTTGGTTAGGCTTAT